TTAGTTTGATTTAAATTAGTACTAGTGTGTGTGTGTGTGTGTGTGTGTGTGTGTGTGTGTGTGTGTGTGTGTGTACATTATAGTTTTTTGTCTGGTGGGGAAAAAAACTTCCCTGGAACCTAACACCCCCCTCTCCATTTACATTAATTCTTATGGGGAAATTGGATTTGCTTAACATTGTTTTGCTTAGTCACATTTTTCAGGAACATAACTACACCGTTAAGCAAGGAGTAACTGTAATATCTCCAAGTATTGTTCAGCAAGCCTACTTTTTTCATCACACCTGTTTTGATTCCCGTTTTATTTCCCTTCCTGGTTAAACTTCGCTTTTTCTTATTATAATAGATCATACTGTCTCTAATCTTGAGTTATCTTTATTGTTTACTTTTTTTCCTCCGCAACAGTCTCTCTCCCTTTAACTATACTGTGTTCTTTACCTCCTCGTCAGTATTTTTCTCTCACCACTTTTCTTCTGCTTCTCCCTGCAGAATCTTCCTACAGTATTTCTCTGTTCTGACTTCTCATGTCTGACATTTTCAAACATCTACTAGCCACAAACTAATGCAAAACAGTATGTAAACCAAAATAATGATATGTGCATCAATCTATAGCCAGCCTGAAACAATAGTTGCAAGAGGGTTGTGAATTAGCCCAAATCATTTAAAGGCATAGTTTACTATGAAGCAAAATAATGACGAATTAAACATCAAAATTGATAACTGTTTGTTTGGTGGTCAAAGCATGTAAGAAAAAAATAGACAATCACATTATGAAAATCTGCTGGGAATGTAGCTCCACCTGAGACACCAAAATAAAACTTCATTTATGGGCAGACCTTGGGAATCCCATTTTTATTTCCCAATTTGACCCCCAATTATAGGAACATGTTGACACGTGCTACTAATCAAAATCGCCTACAATTTCAAAATAAAATGTGCATAATTAGAAGCCGCAATACCTCGAGATGCCAGGATTTGAGCCTTATTGTGATGGGCTCTGTACAAGTATAAAATACAGTTCTACCCCAGAAAGCTTAGATTGTAAATCATTTTGAATGATGCCTTGGGATAAGGGCTTAAAATACAACAGAGAAGAGAGAGAAGATAAGAGTGACAGTAATAACACAAGGTTACATATAAGATTAGCTACAGGTACAATCTGGGAACTTTAGCCGTTCTGGGGGGATTTATGTCTCAACTGGCAAAGAGATCAATGAATCACTTTTAGCCCTGTATTTGTAAGTTTAACCAGTTAGGAGTTGATGAATCTGTCAATTTCCCTTTGGTTTTTATTAACTCAAATTGCATTGAAGTGAAGAGACTAGGACAGAAAGGAGAAAGAGGTTTCAACATGTAGCCACTCACCAGGGAAGAACAGTTGTTCACAGCAAATTTATGTTTAACATTTTAATATTTTACTTAATTACATTTAAACACAAACATGAATATGTGCTGATGTATGTTTTCAGTGTTAGCTTTCCACTTAATTTAAAGTTGCTACAGTTTGTTACTCTGGAGAGAAAAAGAGAGAAATAAATATCTGAAAGAATTTTCTAAATTACTTGTTTAAATATTTTGGTACTTAAGCAAATGGTCTATCATTTTTTCAAGCATTAGACACTGGTTCTGTCCAGTGCATGGCAGACCTTGTTGGTGAGCTGCTAGATATAAGTGATTAATCTGGAATCAGTTTCATACCAGAAGGAAAGTATTAAATAAGTCCGTGTAATTCAACAATATCCTGTCTTTCATTGATACGTGACTGGTTCTTGCCACACTGACAAACCTTTTGGCCTCTCACTGACTAAATTGTGTAAATGATACTAAATCAGCTAAAACAGCTAACAAATACACTGCATAGATAATTACATTCTACTGTCATTAAAGAGCTGTGCTTTTGATACAAGTCAAGGAAAACAATTTTAAAACACCAGTTTAAAAACAAGTATTTACCTCGTAAAGGAGGGGAGGATCTATAAATTGTCTAACAAATAAAAACTTAAAATCAGAAAAATTATGCAGCAAGCCAGAAGCTCTAATATTAATACTTCAAATTTTACTTTTCATCTTCAAAGTGTTTTGCAATCTGCTAAATTAATTCTTAAGACATTTACCTCACAAGGTTATTGTTCATATTTTATAGATAAGGGAAACTGAAGAAGAAAGAGGTTAAATGACTCCCCATATGGTCTTGGGGGAGTTGGTATAAGTTAAAGACCTATGATCAGACCTCAGAATTATGCCTACTGTTCTCCAGCTAAACAAATCTATTTGCTAAATTTTAAAATAAAAAATAAGGATTCTCAGTTGATAAACTTGTGGGTCACAACCCACCTGAGAGCTCACCAGAAAGTTTCTGGGGAAGAGGCAGGTGTAGCAAGTTCGGGTACCATCATGTCTGAGGTATTCTGCTAAATATGAGTCTTCCGTCATTTGGAAACGATTCTGTTTTAATGCCAAAATCACTTAAGTCGTCATGCCATTTTCTTTGTCATTTCATTTGTCTGTTGTTGTTAGCACAAAGCACTCTGGGAGAATATCTCAAAATAACTTGTTGCTAGGAGGATCATGGGAGATAAAAGGGTGAGGATTCCTAACCAGGGTGTGACCAGCAAATGTCCATTGTTTGTTTTTTAATCATGTCTGCTGATACCTTTATTCTTGAAGTTTTTATATAATTAAAATAGGAAATCAGCATTGCATTTCTGCTATCTTTTTTGATTACTCCTTTCTCTGGAATCCTTACTGGTAAAATAAAGCCGTTTTCAATATCTAACATTTTTAAAACAAACATTCACATATAGTTTTCATTAATTTTTTTTGCTCTAGGCTGCACAGTCAGTGCTGATTGCCCTTTTTGAACTAAATACCCCAGAGTTCACAATGTTACTGGGTGCTTTACCAAAAACATTTCAGGATGGAGCAACAAAGCTTCTCCACAACCATCTCCGGAATACGGGCAATGGTGGTCAGGTATTTACACTTATTCTTTTGCTCTGAAGTTACTGATACATACTTTCATCTTCATCTTAATATAGGTTGTTCTTCGTCAAGGGCTTGCTCATGTCAGTTCCAAGTAGGTATGTGCGCACTGCGTGTACGGTCATTGAAAGGCTTTCCCCTAGCCATACCCGTCGGTCGGCTGTGGAGCCCACTGGAGTCATGCCTTCATCATGGTGTATATAGGTCCCTGCCAACCCGCCGTCTCTTCAGTTCCTTCTTACCACCCATGACAGTCACTGGAGCTGCTTTCTTCTCAATCCCCTAGTGGTCTTTCTCTTTGTACCTGTAAATAGGTAACTTAGTGTTAATTGGTGTTTCATGTAGTTTTTATGGTTAGATATGTTTCTGTTGGGGTTTCCCCCACTTCGTTCTTCTCCTGGGGACTGGGGCATGCCAGAAGCTGTGCGGGTCCTGCCAGAAGCCTATGCCAAGGGGTGACCCCCACGATTCTTGCTTAAAGTGCTTGGGGGAGGCCCACCAGACAGACAGGTACAAGATCTGCCAAGGTTCCGCCCAAGAACCAAAAAAAGAGACTTTAGGTTAAAACTACTCCTCATAGTCAGCTCTCCATCCTCAGCCGGCACAGCCCATGTCGGACCCAAAAATCTAAGGAGGCAAAAAGGTGGACCTCTTTGGCCGAAAGATCTACTCTGACAGAGGGCTTCAGCTTCGGATTGCCAACCAGCAGGCGGTCCTCAGCCTCTACAATTTCAATTCTTGGAATACTCGGACTAAGTTTAAAGCGTTGCTTCCAGCTGAATCCCAGTCAGAGTTTAGGGCCATCATCGAAGAGGGCAAGGTTATAGCAAGGACCTCATTTTATGCTACACTTGACTCAGCGGACTCGGCAACCCGCACGATGTTGACCAGTATAGCCATGCGAAGGAGCTCATGGCTGCAGGCTTCTCGCCTTCGGGCTTTAGGCATGAGGTCCAACAAACAATTCAGGACTTGTCCTTCGATGGAGCAGGGCTGTTCTTGGAGCAAACGGACTCTAAGCTCCACAGTCTCAAAGACTCGCAAGCGACATTAAAATCTCTGACTCCATATACCAGCCCCACAAAGGAAGCATTTCAAACCTCCGCCTCCCCCATGCTTCTCCCCTACTCATCCTAGACAGGATTACAACAGGAAGCAGGGCAAAAATAGTAGGAGGAGGCCACCTCAGCCCTTGTCCACCCAGAGCCAGGGCTTGGTGAGGCAGTCTTCTGGCCCCAAGCAAAACTTTTGAAGGTGCCCCTCGGGGTGATGCACCAGGTAAAATCCCAGATCCTTTCCTCCATTTCATGAACTGTCTATCCCATTTCTACCATGCCTGGGCCTAGATCACCTTGGATCAATGTGTCTTATTCATGGTCGAATTGGAATAGTTTCTCAAATTCTGTTCCATCCCTCCCATCCCTCTTCAGGGACCCTTCTCACGAGCAACTTCTCATACAGGAGTTACAAACGCTCCTAGAAGCTGGAACAGTAGAGGAGGTCCCTCAGGATTTCTGGGGCAAGGGGTTTTATTCCCGATATTTCCGAATCCCGAAGTCCAAGGGCAGGCTCAGGCCTATTCTAGACCTGCGAAACCTTAACAGATTCATGACAAAGTTGAAGTTCTGCATGGTCTCCCTGGCTTCCGTTATCCCGTCCTTGGATCTGGAGGACTGGTACGCCACCCTCAACTTGAAGGACACATACTTTCATGTGGCGATAGTCCTGTCCCACAGGCGGTTCCTCCACTTTGTGGTCAGCACCACCCATTATCAGTTTACAGTTCTCGCCTTCGGGCTATCAGCGGCCCCTGGAGTGTTGACAAATGCATGTTGGTCATAGATGCCTTCTTGAGGAGGCGACAGATACTAGTATTCCCATACCTAGACGACTTGCTAATCAAGTTCCTCACCAGAGCTCAGGTAGAGGAGCATGTGAACCTGGTACGGTCAACTTTTGACAGGCTCAGGCTGATACTGAATGTGACACAGTCAAGTCTAACCCGCACTCAGAGGATAGAGTTCATTGGCGCTTTCCTAGACTCAGGTCAAGCCAAAGCAGTCCCTCTGGAATTGCGTTTTCTGACCATAGGTGACATTAGGGGGCTTACAATGATACCCCACTACTACAGTGTGAAATTGCCTGAAGCTGCTCGGTCCATACGACCGCTTGTACGTATGTAGCTCAGCATGCGAGACACTGACTGTACAGGCCTGGCTGGCCTCAGTATACAGGCCAAACCAAGAGCGCCTACATACGATAGTCACTCTTCCTCCTCCGGTTATCAAGTCCCTCCTGTGGGGGTTCAACCCACAAGCGGTGTGTGAAGAAGGGGCTCCGACCCTTGCTGTCTCTAGTCACGGAGGCATTGGAAATGGATGGGGGGGCACATCTAGGAAGACTCAGGACTCAAGGTCTCTGGTTCCAGGCAGAACTTTTGCTGCACATCGTCAGGTTCCTAAGAGCGGTTCGCCTTGCTTGCCAGACGTTCCAAACCCATCTGGAGGGCAGATGTGTATCGGTATTGACCGACAATACAACAGCGATGTTCTGTATAAACAGACAGGGTGGTGCTCACTTCTCTCCCCTATGCCAGGAAGCTCTCAAACTGTGGGACTTCTGCATTGCTCACTTGATACATCTAAAGGCATCGTATGTTCCGGGCTCTCAGAATGAGCTGGCTGATCATCTCAGCAGGTCCTTTCACAATCACGAGTAGTCCCTCCATCCGGATGTTGTGATCAACATCTTACGATGCTGGGGGTTTCCCCAGATAGACTGGTTCTCAACAAGGCACAGCAGGAAGTGTCAGCAATTCTATTCCTTCCTGAATCACAGCCTGGGCTCGCTCATGGATGCTTTTCCCCTCCCTTAGAAGGATCACCTGCTGTATGCATTCCCGCCCTTCCCACTTGTACACAAGGTCCTGCAAAAAGTCAGACGAGAGGGAGCATCAATGATCTTAATAGCACCAGTGTCGCCACGTCAACACTGGTTCACCCTGCTCCTAGGCCTGTCGGTGGACACGCCCATAACCTCGCCCCTGTTCCCGGTCTTGATCACGCAGGACCACAGCCGCCTCCAGCATCCCAATCTAGAATCTTTCTATCTCCATGACTAAACCCCTTGGAGCTCACGTTCCCAGACCTTGTTAGGGAGGTTGTTCTTTGGCAGTAGGAAACCAATAAGAGCCACTTATTTGGCTAAGTGGAAGAGATTCTCTATTTGGTCATTACAAAAGGACACTCCACCTTTACAGTCATCAGTCCCCTTTATCCTGGACTATTTATAACATCCGAAACTGCAGAGCCTGTCAGTGTCATCAGTAAAGGTGCACCTGGCCGCTATCTCAGTTTTCCATCCTGATTCGGCTGGCCGGTCGGTTTTCGCTAGCCCTATGGTTGGCTGCTTCCTCAAAGGACTAGATAGACTGTACCCTCAAGACAACCAGTCCCCCCCATGGGATCTCAACCTGGTACTCTCAAGACTCATGGGTCCTCCCTTTGAACCCCTAGCAACATGATCTCTTCTCTCCCTCTCCTGGAAAGTAGTGTTCTTGGTGGCTATAACTTCAGCCAGGAGGGTGTCTGAGCTTAAGGCTTTAACTTCTGAGCCCCCATATACTGTCTTCTGTAAGGACAAGGTGCAGTTGCGTCCCACCCACCTTTTCTCCCAAAGGTAGTTTCACAATTGAACCAGGATATATTTCTTCCAGTGTTCTTTCCTAAGCCGCATGCTAGCAACTGGGAACGAATGTTCTACTCCTTGGATGTCAGGCAAGTGTTAGCCTTTTACATCAAAAGAATTAAGCCATTTGGGAAATCAACGCAACTCTTCATTGCGATTGCAAAGCGAAAGAAGGGGCTTCCAGTCTCATCCCAAAGAATCTCTTAATGGATCATGGTCTGCATCAGGGCATGCTACGACCTGGCAAAGATGCTTGCCCCCGCGCTGATGGCATATTCCACAGGGGCCAGGCATCCTCAGTGGTGTTCCTGGCACAAGTCCCTATTCAAGATATCTGCAGGGCAGCGATGTGGTCATCGATCCACACCTTTACATTGCACTGCACCATTACGCAGCAGGCCAGAGACGATGCCGCATTTGGCAGAACAGTGCTGCAGTCTGCGACCCACTGAGATCCGAGCCCTCCTCCTAGGAGATGCTTGGGAGTCACCTACTTGGAATCGACATGAGCAAGCACTTGAAGAAAAAACAGTTAGCTACCTTCTCTTAACTGTTGTTCTTTGAGATGTTGGTCATGTCCATTCCAAGTAGCATCTGCCTGCCCCTCTGTCAGAGTACTCCGAAGAAACTGAAGAGGCGGTGGGTCAGCAGGGACCTATATACACCGCCTGAAGGTGCAGCTCCAGCAAGCTCCACAGCCAACCCGATGGATACTGCTAGGGGAAACTCCTTCTGACGGCTGCGCACACGGCACGCGCACACCTTCTTGGAATGGACATGAGCAACACATCTCGAAGAACAGATACGTGAAGGTAGGTAACTGGGTTTTTTTTATTATTATTTTTAGTTTGGTTTTATTTATTTTCAAGGGACTTCTAATTAGGAGTCTCCCCTAATTTATAGTTAACAATGTTCTTATTTGAAAAAGAGGATGTATATATGTATTTCAAAAAGTTGAGAATTCTCAGCATTATTACTTTTAAGTAAACTAATCATGTTAGCTCTTGGTGCTCTTAACTTTCACAAACAGTAATATATCTCATGCCTATTTCTTTAGTTTCTGAAATTACTTATATCTAGCTAGGTTTCAGAGAGGTAGCCGTGATAGTCTGTATCAGCAAAAACAACGAGGAATCCTTGTGGCACCTTAGAGGGTAACAAATTTATTTGGGCATAAGCTTTTGTGGGCTAAAACTCACTTCATCAGATGCATGGAGTGGAAAATACAGTAGAGAGGTATAAATATACAGCATATGAAAAGATGGGAGATGCCTTGTCAATGCTAACGAACCAATTCAATTAAGGTGGAAGTGGGTTATTCTCAACAGTTGAGAAGAAGGGGTGGAAATCACTTTTGAAGTGCTAATGAAGCCAGTGTACTCAAGGTAGCCCATTTCAAACAGTTAACAAGAAGGTGTGAGTATCAGCAGTGGGAAATTAGTTTTTTTGTTGAAGAATTGCCACTTTTAAGTCTGTTGTTGAGTGTCCAGGGAGATTGAAGTGTTCTCCTACTGGTTTTTTAATGTTATAATTCCTGATGTCAGATTTGTGTCCATTTATTCTTTTGCATAGAGACTGTCTAGTTTGACCAAGGTACATGGCAGAGGGGCATTGCTGGCACATGATGGCATATATCCCTGGACACTCAATAACAGACTTAAAAGTGGCAATTCTTCAACAACAAAACAGACTCCCATGAGAAATTGCAAATTAATTCCAGTTCTGCAAACTGGACACCATCAAATTAGGCCTGAATAAAGACTGGGAGTGGATGGGTCACTACAAAAACTAATTTCCCCCTGCTGATACTGTGACCTTCTTGTTAACTATTTGAAATGGGCCACCATGATTACATTGGCCTCATTCGAACTCATTAGAACTACAAAAGTGATTACAACCCCTTCTTGTCAACTGTTAAGACTAGCCCACTTCCACTTTAATTGAATTGGCTTGTTAGCACTGACACCCCCCCCACACACACACTTGGTAAGGCAACTCCCATCTTTTCATATGCTGTGTATTTATACCTCTCTACTGTATTTTCCACTCCATGCATCTGATGAAGTGGGTTTTAGCCCACAAAAGCTTATGCCCAAATAATTTTGTTAGTCTCTAAGGTGCCACATGGACTCCTTGTTGTTTTTATGTAGCTAGCTAATCTCAGAACTTTTCTGGTGTTAAAAACTAAATATAACATCAATTTAAAAGGAAATGTTATTTTTTACTAGAATATCATTTTTTCATAGGGGTCAATGGGAAGTCCTTTAACAAGACCTACGCCACGTTCACCAGCCAGTTGGTCCAGTCCTCTCACTTCCCCAACTAATACATCACAGAATACTTTGTCACCAAGGTAATATAAGGCTACATTATAACTTTACATGATAACTTGGTGTTATGGGGTTTTTATGTGTTCTCCTGAATTCCAACCCCCTCAAAAAGTGCAGAAAGAACTTTACCCAAGTTAAATCAACCACTGGATACTTAGAATAATCACTTACTAAAAACTATTAACTAGGACAGGGGTCGGCAACCTTTCAGAAGTGCTGTGCCAAGTCTTCATTTATTCACTCTAATTTAAGGTTTCGCGTGTCAGTAATACATTTTAACGTTTTTAGAAGGTCTCTTTCTATAAGTCTATAATATATAACTAAACTATTGCTGTATGTAAAGTAAAAAAAGCTTTTTAAAATGTTTAAGAAGCTTCATTTAAAATTAAATTAAAATGCAGAGCCCCCCAGACCAGTGGCCAGGACCAGAGCAGTGTGAGTGCCACTGAAAATCAGCTCGCGTGCCGCCTTCGACACACATGCCATAGGTTGCCTACCCCTGAACTAGGACCGATCTCCAGACAACGTAACATTTTGGAGGGTAAAAGGAAGTAACCAATGAAATGCTCTACAGCTTAACTGCCATTTCTACCATTCTAGAGGATTTCATAGGTCATGTTTTTGATGGTGATGGATTTAGTAGTTTGAAGTTTTAAATGTTAAAATTGTAGGCAAGTTCACTATAATAGTTTATTTTATATTTAATAGAGAAACTGTGCAGAAGCTCAAGGCATTAATACTTTCAGCAGTAGAGAGTGGAGCAACAGTCTGCTTCTGCTGTTCCTAAGCTCCTCCTGCTGCTGTTCCTAAATAAGCAGACCCCTTGTTGGCCATCCAGTTCCACCACTTAAAGTCCCAAGTATCAGTCATTGATGGTCTCCTTAACAAAGGAAGGTGGGGTGCCATTGAAAGGCAGCCACCACAGCTCCCACAGGAGTGTGGTTCCACTCCTGTGGCCCCACTCCTCAGTAAAATAATAGTCAGAAAATAAATTGAACCTTTTTATCCCCTTCTTCCATGTTTCCCTGGATCTACAGTGCATTCGATTATGACACGGAAAACATGAATTCTGAAGATATTTATAGTTCTCTTCGTGGCGTCACTGAAGCCATTCAGAACTTCAGTTTCCGTAGTCAGGAAGATATGAATGAGCCTGTGAAACGGGATTCCAAAAAGGACGATGGTGATTCAGTGAGTGTTTGAATGACAACGCGAGGAGCTGATTAAGTACAGCTGAATTGTCTCTTTAAATGGATTTGTATATCAAGGGTAAAATTTTCAGAGCACCTAAGTACCATTTTCAAAAGTGCCGTAGGCCTTTAGAATCTTAAATGCCTATTCATGCCTATCAACCTTTTGAAAATGGGACTGAGGCTCCTTAAGTCACTTAGGTGCTTTTGAAAATTGTATTCCTAGTCTTAAAGTAAAATAACCTGTTTATGTTAGAGAGGTCAAATTCTAATTACAAAAAGCCATGCTGCTAATCAAGTCTATATAGAATGCCAGCACTTTAAATCCTGTTGGACTATGGCTTTAGTTTTAACTTGCAGCTGCTTATTGGTGTTACCTGTTTTAGACTAAACAATCTGCTTTATATTCTTGCTGTTGTACTGGAGGGAGACTGTATGATTTCTGTCCCCGAATAATATCATTTGAATGAAATATGTACTTCATGAAATCTCTTTCAAAGAGCAAAACTTTGAGTAAAAATAATTCTAGACACCTTTTGATGTGTGTTCAAACAAGTTCAAACAAATGTTTTATAGTGTCTAAAAGCTGTGGGCAAAACTTTCAAACTTGGGTATCTATGGTTCTAAAAATCACAACACAACAGAAAATCAGGCCAATTATTTAGGTGTTTAAATATGGATTTAAATACCTAACTTTAAGCTTCCTCTATGAAAACATTGGTGTTTTGTGTTCAGTTCGAACACCTAAGTCCTTTTTAGGCAATGTTCATACGCACCATTTGAGAGGAAAGCTAAGGTTTCTGAGGGCTCATCTAAATAAACACTTAGTTCACAGAAAGTAGCATTTAAATCTAGTGTGCTGTGCACTAGGGGTTTGTTTGGACCCTACTTTTGTGCACTAAAAGTTCCCTAGGGCAGTGGTTCTCAAACCTTTTTCTCGCAGACCACTTGAAAATTGCTAAGGGTCTCGGCAGACCACTTAAAGATCTTTCCAAATGTTGTTTGTACCGTTAGCTAATTATTGTAGAGAGCTTTGGATAAAAGCGCTATATAAGAAAAAACTGTATTATTATGTTTTTTTGTTCTACAAATAAAAGCGTAAAACTCATATTTTAATATCAGTAGTCTTACCTTTCTAATGCAATGGATGTGCCCTCTCTCCCCAGCCATGGCAGCCCCGAGCTGGGGGCTGGGAAGGAGGGCCATCTCTCCCCGGCAGCCCTGGAGCTGTAGAAAGTCGCCTCTTTCTCTGGCCGCCGCAACCCTGCACATCCCAAATTCCCCCACCCCACCCCTTCTTCTCACACCACTGCCCCCTCCCACCTACCCCCCTATTCCCCAAGGCCACCACCTCACCAAACATGTGCGTCTTCTCCAGGGTCCAGGCACCTAATTAATGTAGCCATGCCTGCATGGCTCCACTAATTAGGTGGGTCTCTCTTCTTTCTCTTGTGTGTGGCCTTCCAGACGCGCATCTTAGAGGGAACTATCCACGGACCACCTGAATGGAGCTCGTGGACCACTGGTGGTCCACGGACCACAGTTTGAGAACCACTGTTCTAGGGTGCTCAATGCATGGCAGCAGGGTTCAGGGGGACACTTAGTGAACGGCACAGTAGTATAGGGTAGATTTACAACTCAGCCTGCTGCTTACTAAGTGTTCATTTACACAAGCCGTAAGTGTTGAGAAACAATGAGCCAATTTCAGATGTTAGTTGGTATTCTGTGGCACCCATGGAACCTTGCAAACTTTGTAGCTTGTCTTTAGGATTGTCTACATGAGAATTTAGCACACAGCAATTTAGGGTGTGCATTTACAGCCCACTGCCTACTCTGTACAACTCCCACATGTGGACACTGTTACTGTGTGCGAAGAGGGCCGTCATGCGCTTTAGCTTAACCCTTTAAAGAAATGGATTTTAAAGTATACTAAAAGCTAAGCCACCCAAGAGCACTTTTAGTGCACAATAGGAATCTCCACAAAGGAATTAGTGTAGAGTAGCTAGAGTGCGGTAAATTTACACGTAGCTTGCTGCACACTAACTTTCCTGTGTAGACCAGACTATTATTTGCTCTGTTAACCTAAGAGGAATAGTGAACTAAAAAGTGACTGAGATATTAAATATGTTTATGGGGAGGGGTGTTTTTATTTTTTCCTGGCAGATTTGCAGTGGCTCTGGAATAGCGGATCTGAGAGCAGGAGGTGGAGCAATTGATACAGGCCGAACAGCTCTTGATAACAAAACATCATTACTTAATACAATGCCTCCCCACTCTTCTCCACGTTCACGAGATTATAACCCATACAATTACTCGGATAGTATCAGTTCTTTTAACAAATCTGCTTTGAAAGAAGCTATGTTTGATGATGATGCAGAGCAATTTCCTGAAGGTAAGTTCTAGATTACATTCTTTGTTGGAGGGGAAATCGTAAGATTTGTCTCCATGTGTTGCGTAGTCATTAAGGTTTTCATGTCATAAATAGAGGCTAAACTAAATTAGCTAGACATACATGTATGTGAAGGAACCGGACTGCTGATGCAATAAATCATGTTTTTGGACTAGGTTTATTGAATAGCAAATCCTATCTGAGTAATGTGAAAAGCAAGCAGTGTTACAAAAGCTATCAGACAGAATTCCAATGTAATGGAATACTCCAGTATTAATATTCTTCCTCATAAATACAAAGTTACAGGAAAAGTAAGAGAATTGCTAACTGTAGCATATACTATATCTTTGGGCTTAGGTTGTAGTAAGTATATTTTAGTGCATGACAGTCAAAAAGAAAAAATATTTGTAGTTATGTTGCTTTAGCTAATTTTTTTCAATTGGTCAAGAGAAAAAAGATCTTTGTGAATTACATAATGAAAAAAGAAACTGGGTAAAACTAGTTTTGGCTACAGATGAAAGATAATAGTACAGAGTTTTGGTAGTGAAATATTTTGATTTGAAACATAGTCGGAGGTATTTTGTGTTGACTAAACATTTTTTTAAATGCATGTGCTGAAAAGGTGGCTGCGCTCAGACCATGTCGACATAGATATTCAGCTTGCTGCTTTATAATCTTTTTCGGTATATTTTCTTGTAATGTTTATAACCAAATGTTTTATTTTGCATTTGTTTCCTTCTCTCATTCTTTCTTGCTCATTTTTCTTCCCTAATTCTGTAGTTTATAATAACATTTTCTATAGATATGGTGCTGGCTGTAGCTCCATTGTGAACTTTATGCTCCCAATTATCAACTGGTCTGAATTGAGGCAAAACACTGATGACCAGCTGAGGATCTGGCCCCACATTCTTGAAACAAAAAGATGATGACCACTAAGATAGCACCATACTGAGAGTTTGGTTTGAAGTATGTCCATAGGTAGCAGTGTCCCCAGGATTATGCAGCACTGCTTTGTCTACCTAGCCCTCTCTCAATCACTACTCTTTCATCTATTGCAATCAGTCTAGTATCCTCTGTGTTATTGATATTGATATTGTATTCGATTTATTTTCCATTACCCCCAGATATTCAGTGTGTTGAAGTTGCTTGGATTGGAGGGAATGGTGGTTTAACAACTGGATAGGGAACAGTTGTGGCTTTTGGTATTCCATTGCAGGTTAGAATATGCACAACTAAATGGTAGATGGGCAAAAACAGTGGATTGTGGACCAGTGGAGAGATTCCTCTTTAAATAAAGGAGAAGGAAGCTTGTAGAACCTGTACTAGTGTCTGGCAAACAATCTTTACTGTCCTACCACAGTAGGCACTTAAGGCACTTGAGGCACTTAAGTAAAATGATAAATTATTTGAATTACTCTTTCATTTCGATAAGTACCTCATGTTCATTAAAAATACATTTATAAAAGGTTTTAAAGTCTAATTCTAATGGTGTTTACCTTATAATAATACTGCTATCCATGCTCAGAAACAAATTCAAGTATATAGAAAAGTGATTTTGTTCATGATGAAATGATATCATATTAAGTTGAATACACAGATTTGTAATGAAGTCTTAACTTTTCACTTTTCTTTAACATAGAGCATACACCAGCAAAAGGCCCCTAGCCTCTTGACACTCCCAATTGTACCTGCTTTACACCTTACTGAAAATCTCAAGGAAACCTTTTAAAATATGATGGCAATGCAGAAAAACTGGAAGGGGGGATTGTTGCTGTATTGCTTCAGTAGATAGTGAATATTTTGAAATGAGTATTCAGTTATAGTCTAATCTTTATTATGTCATTAAGAGCAGTTCTTATTAGAGACTGATGAGAAGGGATTTCTTGCTTCTGTCTCAACTGTAGTTCGGGTATTAAACAATGGTTTGCCATAGGAACTAACTGAAAGAAAACAATACACTCTCTGGCATTGTTTGTATTCAGATTTAGTAATTGCACTCAGAGTGAGATTTATGAGATTCTCTACTTGAAAAATTAACTTATATTCAGCTTTTCTTGAAACGTCACCATTTATATAGCTAGTTGTCAGCATTAACAGCCACTGTCAGTTAGTTTTCAGTTATTTTATGTAAGATAAAAAGATGCGATAGTTACTGGATCTAACCTAAGTGCACTTCTAGTTATTGACATAGCTTTTTACCAAGTTATGGTTGGGGTGAGTAAATGACCAATGTTTGTGTTTTACTATTTATTTAGGAAGTTTTAACATCTTTACATATCATTGATATGTAAACATAAGAAATGAAATGTTAATCATTACAACTCTTAGCTTTTCATTTTGATAACATTATGCAGTAATGTAATAATTACTCCTGGGGGATTCTGCACCAAAAAATTCAACGTATTTTATTTGTCAAAATAATGCAATATAATCACACCAGTTTCAATTATTTTGGTAATGTATTTAAACTACAATACAGAAAACGTCACAATAACTATTCATCATTTCCTAAACACAAGAAAGTTAAGTTTACAAACACTTGGTAATTAATACCCTGCATTCAAGTTATAATCCTGGATTTTCATTTAAATTACATTACAGAACACCACAGAGGGGAAAAAAAATAAGAAGAATGTCATTTTAAATTGCTCAGACTTTCACACATGAAAGTCATACAGTTTTGCTAATCATTGTCCTGGACTTGACTGGGTACTTTGGGAAGTGCTTGCTTCTGATTGTCCTGATATTTTATTGACTGCTTGGTAAATGTTTTATTTGTCCTCAAAGTTCTTTTTTTTTTTTTTTTTTTAAATTGGGTAAGTAAAACAAATCCTGAGCTGTAATCTAACCCCATTGTGCCAATTTGGCACAGGAAAAATGTGAGAAAGTACATAGGTCTTCCTAGCTGATTCCCTTACTGTCATTTATAAGGCTTTACATCACTGTGGCAATGTAGGAGCCTTAAAACTTTTTACAGGTTTTATGCTCCTGGGGGAATTGACTAAGAATGGGAACAGTTAACTTACAATAGGAACATAAACACTGTTACTATGCAGGCGGGCTGCTACATTTCTGACTCAGAGAATGAGATCAATTAGCTAGCAGGCAGGCTGCTACTTTTTTGGCTCCTGGAAAGAGCCTTCCTCCTGCATAATAAAAAGACCTACCCCTGCACGCCCCTGGTGAGCCGCAGCAGCGAGCAAGAGGGACAGAGTCTATCTTGCTTGTTGGCAGGGACACACGCCCACCTCTGCCCCCTGACGGATATCATCTCCCCCCACAGGCACGCATGCCCAGCCCCTCTCCCCCTGCAGTGATTTGCAACTCTGAGACTGCTCTAGGCACGCTGGAACAGACGCGCTGCCTGGGCTGCTGGGGAAGAGGCGCGTGTTGTGTCCTCCCCCCTGCAGATTTTCATTTTTCTGCACAGGGGACACAGAAATATGCGGGCCATATGAATTCTGCACCGAGTAAAAATAATCAAATCTCTCTATTTAGCAGAGTGTTATCATATTACAGTGTGAACATCCTTTACCACCAAGGACATGGTGTTTCTGGTGATTTTAGTAAATTGAATGAAACTACTGACTTTACTTGTATTGATCATTCCAGCCTGTCTGTCAAACATTAGTATTCCAAAAAATTGGACAGGCATGCTGGATTTGTTTTTAGCATAACATAAGAATGGCCATACTGGGTCAGACCAATAGTCCATCTAGCTCAGTATCCTGTTTTCCGACAGTGACCAATGCAAGATGCTTCAGAGAGAATGAACAGGACATGGCAATCAAGTGATCCATCACCTGTTGTCCACTCCCAGCATCAGGTAGTCGGAGGCATAAGGACACCCAGAGTAGGGAGTTGCATCCCTGGCCATCTTAGGACTATCAATGGCTATTAGCTGTCCTCCATGAACTTATCTAATTCTTTTTTTAACCCAGTTATACTTTTGGTCTTTTCAGCATCCCATGGCAATGAGTTCAACGGGTTGACTGTGCATTTTGTGAAGAAATACTTCAGTTTGTTAGCTTTAAACCTGCTGCTATTAATTTCATTGGGTGATCCCTGGTTTTTGTGTTGTGTGAAGGGGTAAATAACACTTCCTTATTCACTTTCTCCACACCAGTCATGATTTTGTAGAGTTTCATCGTATTTCCCCCTTAATCGTCTCTTTTCCAAGATGAATAGTCCCATCTTTTAATCTTTCGTCATATGGAGGTTTAGCCTTAATAATATTTGTTGCCATTCTCTGTACCTTTTCAGTTTCTAATATCTTTTTAGAGATGGGGTGACCAGCACTGCATGCAGTATTCCAGGTGTGGGTGTAACATGGATTTATATAGTGGCATTTTGATATTTACTGTCTTATCTATCATTTTCCTAATGGTTCCTAACATTCTGTTAGTTTTTTTGACTGCTGCTGCACATTGAGCAGATATTTTCAGAGAACCATCCACAATGACTCTCTCTTGATAGGTAACAGCTAATTTAGATCCCATCATTTTGAGATTGTTTTCCAATGTGCATTCTTTGCATTTATCCACATTGAGTTTCAGTTGTCATTTTGTTGCCCAGTCACCCTGTTTTGTGAGAGCCGTTTTTAACTCTTCGCAGTCTGCTTTGAACTTCACTATCTTGAGTAATTTTGTATTGCTACAAACTTTGCCACTCCCTGTTTGCACCCCTTTTTCTAGATCATTTATGAATATGTTGAACATTACTGGTCCCAGTACAGATCCCTGGGGGACACCGCTATTCACGTCTCTCCATTCTGAAAACTGACCATTTATTCCTACCCCTTGTTTCCTGTCTTTTAACCTGTTACTGATCCATGAGAGGACCTCACCTCTTATCCTATGACTGCTTACTTTGCTTAAGAACCTCTGGTGAGGACCTTGTCAAGGGCTTTCTGAAAGACCAAGTACACTATATCCACTAGATCACCTTTGTCCACCTGTTTGTTGACCATCTCAGAGAATTCTAATGGATTGGTGAGGTATGATTTCCCTTTACAAAAGACGTGTTGATTCTTCCCCAACAAATTGTGTTCATCTACATGTCTAGCCCTTGCATTGTGTCAGGTCAGGTGCAGCCTCACTGCCGAGTCCTTGTACTGGGGGAGGTGGGACTTCAGGGTGAACTTCCACCTCAATGCAGTCAGTGGCCTGTGCTCCCCACTGCTAGAAATGTGGAGATCGGGTTTTATTAATGGCCCCCCTGTCACAGACTTCCAGTGTGACATTGGACCCGTCATTTAAGGCTTGATATCAAGGGGAGTCTTTCCATTGATTTAAAAAGACAGCAGATAGGGGACTTAATTAACCTGTACCTCAGTTCCTCCATCCGAAAAACAGGGATAATAATAATAATTGCCTGCCTCACAGGAGTTTGTGTAAATTCATTGTTTTTGGTTAGGTACTTTGAGGACATCAGATGGAAGTGCTTAGAAGTGCAGTTTTGCAAAGTGTTTTTTACAGTTCCAAAACCTTTATGCTTCATTCATGCAGTAAAAACAACAAGGAGTCTGGTGGCACCTTAAAGACTAACAGTTTTATTTGGGCATAAGCTTTTGTGGGTAAAACACCACTTCTTCAGATGCATGGAGTGAAAATTATAGATGCAGGCATTATATAATGACACATGAAGGGAAGGGAGTTACTTCACAAGTGGACAGTGTTGACAGGGCCAATTCGATCAGGGTGGATGTAGTCCACTCCCAATAATAGATGAGGAGGTGTCAATTTCAGGAGAAGCAAAGCTGTTTTTGTAATGAGCCAGCCACTCGAAGTCCCCATTCAAGCCCAAATTAATGGTGTTAAATTTGCAAATGAATTTTAGTTCTGCTGTTTCTCTTTGAAGTCTGTTTCTGACGGTTTTTTGTTCAAGTATAGCTACTTTTAAATCTGTTATAGAATGTCCAGGAAGATTGAAGTGTTCACCTACTGGCTTTTGTATGTTACCGTTCCTGATGTCCGATTTGTGTCTATTTATTCTTTTTGATCAGCATTCATGCAGTAGGCACTCCTCCTGGATCAAAGGAGAATTTAAATTTGGGACTTTATGGGACAACTCCTCCTCCCACTGGGTGATGGTGGAGCAACTTGCCAAAGGGAGTTAGGAGCAGGGCCCCACTGGGCCCGCCCCCATCATCACTTTACAAAGTAGGAGGTGGGAGGGCTAGACAAAGACGCAGGTAGGCCAGCCAGCCTTATGCTATGTGTGCAGTCAGTCAGTGTGCTGCAGGGAAGGCTGGATTACTTGTGGCAGTAGGTACCCTATGCTGTCCTGTCCTCAGGGCCAGTGCCAGCTAAGCGGGACTGGGCAGCTGAGACTAAGCAATAAATGGCCAGGAGTAATGGATCCCCCTCCACCTGGGCCAGAGCCCTTCAGAGCGTTCCCACAGGTAAGCAATGGGCATGGGGCAATTGGGTTTTTTTACTTGTTCAAATTCAGCAATGGGCAGGGCCGGGGAGCGCTCAGCTGGGGGAGAGAACTTGAGTGGCGGAAGTCTGTGGGGAGAGGGGTATGGAGGGAAAGAAGTGGGAGGCAGAGGGAGGAGGAATGTGGCGGCGGGGAGGAGAGGATAAGACTCAACTCTTTTCAGTGGATAGGAGATTACATTTGTCTGGTGGCCAGTTTCTCATGAGAATGGGGCTGGAGATTTGGTTCCTTCACCCCTGGGGATATAGGGTCTGCTGGTCTGGTACATAAAGCTGGCATCCCCATGCTGCCTCAGTGGGACTTTTTGCCTTTTTGGTTCTGTGAGCTAAGCGGGTATTGTTGTTGTTAAAGTAGCAGCCAGCCTTTATTTTACTGCCAGGATTCATCTCTAGCTGCAGCAGCCACTCCTCTTGGCAGTTCTTATTCATTGCCTGAGGTGCTTACTGCTGTTGGAACAATAAACATAGGAAGTGCTCAAGCTTGTTTGTGTGAAGAAGTGAAAATGAGGTGGCAGCTTTTGCAGTCTGATTCCAGCTATTTTCTTCCTGTCAGGCTGTAAATGCCAGCTGAGGGTGAGGCCTGACACCTTGTTTTATTGTGGGAAGAAAGGAGAGAGATTTCTCAATTAGTTTTAACTGCTGTTTGCCATTATATGTTCCCCAGGATCAATGAGGGGGTCGGGGCACTTGAAAAAGCTGTTTTGCAGGCTGCCTGCATGTCAGCTATCAGGGTATATCAAAAAACCTGTGACTGACATTTTTTATTCCCAAGTTTAGTGTTTTTAATTAGGTACCTTCTGCGTGTCCAGTCTTCACAAACACCATCTGGCACAGAGTGGAAAACATGCTCCATTTTCTTTAGAAAGAAAATTGCAGAAAAGTGGAGGGTTTTTTTTTTTTCAAATATATTTTTTTTTCATTTGCTTGGATTCAGGGATTTGGCTGGAAGGGGGATGTGCATGCGGCAGGGGTGAGCGTGGAGGGAGAGTGGGAGGGAAGAGATGAGGGAGACAGTGGGGAGGGGGGTGGAGCCTGGGGCAGAGTATGGGTGGGGCCACAGGCAGAAGAGGCTGTCTGGTGTGCTGCTGCGTCTCCAAGAGGAAGCTTCACCCACCGCCCATGTTCTTTACTATAGTTTTAACCATTTTAATGGAACTGAAGTTAGGATTACTGCCCTGTAATTGCCATTATCGCCTCTGGAGTCTTTTTTAAAAATTAGTGTCGCATTAGCTACGAATTCATACTATGCATTTAATTTAATTATTTGGTACCCAGAGCAGTATTATACAATGTCAGTCCTTCAAAAACTGCTAAATTTCTTAGCACATGAACTTACGCAATAACCTTTGAATGCGTGAAGTCAGCAATGTTGATGAGAATATCATGCTGATTAAATTTATACTGTGGAATTAACCTGTCTGGGCAGAATATATGCCTCGTTTCCCTAATATAATGTCAATATGTGTTCCCAATAATAAAATTTGTCATGGTATCTTATCTTCAGTGTCTGTGGCAGGACTAATTTGGCCTTGGTAATAAAAATAATCATATTCAGTAAAAGTTTTCTGTTCCAGTCCTCTGTACTAATTAATGACTATCATAGGGTTGAGGCAAAAAACAATTTCCTTTAGGTGAACATTAATGGTCCATTTAGAGAATTTGCAAAGCATGCATTATTAGTCATATAAACTCTAACATACTAATTTATGGACGAAGGGGAGAGAGGTACTACTTGAATAAACATTTTTGTTTTCATGTATCCATGTCCCTGGGTATTCATCCAAAACAGAGGATAAATGGAACAAGTGGAGTTCTATTTTGTGCATTGCAGAAAAAGTTTTGATCTAAAATATTCAGTAGATGGTAAATATTATACTGAGGTAGTGAAAATTTACACAGCTCTAATTAATTCACTTTTTGCTAGTTTCTTCTCCCCGAGATGACTTATTGTTACTAAATAGTAATAACGTAATAATAAACTCAAGGACTGATTAACGTGGGATTTATCTGTATGTGATGTCATAACAAATTTTATTGCAGAAATATTTCACTTGTAGCTCAGTGTCAACTTGAAATAGTCCTAGAGAAAGATACAAGACTCTGTTTAATTGCCATGTTTTGCAGATATGCTAAAATTTGACTCCTTCCATTATATGCCTTGTAAAATAGAAGTTTATTTGAGAAAGAGATTTTTTTGTATATGTTTTACCTTTTTTCCTTCAAAAAGTACTGTGAGGTTCTTAATCTTCTGCCTGTACAGTAAGACGCAGACAGAAGGCATGAGAGTTCCCTTTTCAAAGGCCAGAGATATCTTACTATTTGGTAACGAAATAAAGACAACAACTTGATATTTGAATTCACATTGGAGACCAGGTTTTATTGAAGTTTGGTTGGCATCTTGGGTTGACTGCCCAATCTGTATAAGTATCTGTCTAGTTATTCATGTCTTGTTCATCACTATGGTATCCCTCCCCTATATTTTTTAAATTCTCCTACAAAGAGAGCTTGTCCTAGTGACAGCAGCCTGAGCAGCGGCAGCCCTGTGGAATTCCTAGTCTAGTCAGCTTCACATACCTATTCAGTCACTGGAAGATTCAAGCTGCAGTCAGTTCATTTGCAAGTTGGTTTTTGCCATCATGCCAGACATTTGTTTCTCAGGAATGCTGACCACACTGAAAATACAGTATTTATTTGTGTTTATTTTGAGGGTAAAAATGTCCTTGCAGACGGAGTTGAGAAAAATAAACAACAGTTTCTAGGCTGATAGGCCTTAAAACTATCTCTGCATTATGTGATAGGAGTTGCTTTTTATCACCTCTACAGTTTGAGGAATATGTCCATTTATTCCTTTTTAATAGAGCCCCCTATGGACCATTCTGATCTGGTTGCAGAGTTACTGAAGGAATTGTCAAACCATAATGAGAGAGTTGAAGAAAGAAAGGCTGCTTTGTATGAGCTTATGAAATTGACTCAAGAAGAGTCCTTTGGTGTTTGGGATGAGCACTTCAAAACGATACTACTTCTGTTACTTGAAACTCTTGGGGACAAAGAGGTAAGTTCAACCCAAAGTTGACCGTGCCCGGAAGTTGCTTTTGACATTAGGGCCCATTCTTTAATAACACTTCACATGGATGAAATTCATATTGGGTTTAAATGGTATCTCTAGAAGGGGATAAACAAGTTGCTGGTAGTAGTAAAATACTTTGTAATGACAGTCTACAAATGGGACAAAGAAAATTTCTTTAAATTTAGAATAATCTTAGTGTCCCAAAAAGTAAAAAGAGACAGTCGTCATGTTTACTTTACAGGGCTTTTTCCTGTTTTGGGTTCTCCCAGTATCCAGTCTTGTTGACTTCCACTCTGTCCAAAGTTCTGTGCATTAGGCACACACAGTCCAGCATCTGGTAATGGACTGGATAGGGGTCAGGTACATGGCTTTTTCTCCATACTACATATTTATATTGAGATAGCAATTTAAAAAAAATAAAATACAAAATAACTGAAAAATACACACCCTTTTGTATCAAAAAGGCATTTCTCTGATTCTCACTCCCCTGTTTCCTATACTGGTTTCATGTTCAGGTGATTTTTGTGGTGGATGACAGTATAATTCATATATATTATGCACAGCGAGTACTATTAGTTTGAACTCTGGGGTGGGAGTTATGGAAGGTTAAAATTGGTTGCTCATCCTTTTTTTACCTTAGGGTTTGGGGGTATTCACGTAATTACTATGAAATTCAAAGTATTCTTATTTGTAGGTTGCCTTCTAAGTGGGCCATGCAAAGCTTGACTTTAAAAATATATAAATAGGAAGTTTGTGTACACTAGGGATGTAAATATTGTTTAATAAGATAACCATTTAAACTATAAAATTAAATTGTTTAACCAGATAACCGATTAAAGGGAGAGGGGACCAGGTACCTAGTTTGTCCCGATGTGGCCTCCGCAGACACTCCGTGCCACCCCAGCAGCAGCTTCCCTTCCCTTCACTGACCAATGCGCCCTCCGTCTCCGCAGCCAAACCCCTTCCAGTGGTGCTGGGGGAGGCTGGGGACTACTTTAACCCCCACCTCCCACCCCGACTGGGCTGGGGCCGGCACAGCTGGGGCACAGGTCAGTCTGTTGCAGGAGAACTGGTTCAAGACCCGCACGCAGGGGATTAAAGTTAGTGTGGGTTAACAGTAAGACTAATGCTTACCAGTTAACCATTTAATATTTTACATCCCTAGTGTATACACTTTTCCAAAAGAGGAGAATATGGGGTAGGAGGGAGATGGTTTCCCTAGCTTTCTGGGAGGATACGAAACTTAGCTTTTGCTAGCCCCTGCTATGTTCCAAGGTAGAAAATTCTAAAACACATACAACATTATGCATAGAAAATAAATGTTAAGTAATTTTAGAGGCTTCTAAAATGTAGTTATAATTGGCAAGTCCCTTTCAGTTCCATATAATTAGGCTTACTATAATTAGTATACCATAGTTAGACTTGTAACTAGACATGTCTTTTCAATCAGAGGGACTCAAAAATTGCAATAACATTTTTGAAAACTAAAATATTTCTAAACCATTTTTTTTTTGGTAAAATAAATGATTTAGACAAAATATGGGAATAGTGTTGTGTAAAAGTTTTATTGGCACTCACTTGGGATGATCTGCATATGTTGCTTGTGATTTTGCAGGCATACATTGCATCTACATATGTTGCTTAGTAAAAACTTCATAACACCATGTAAGATATATATATAGAGAGAGAGAGGGGCAGGGGGGTGAGAATATGGGTTGGGATGATGTAAAGATTTTTCTGGTAGTTCCATATGCTTAGGGCTTGAATGAATAGGCTGGTACTGTATGCATTTGGGGGGAGCATATTATAATTTACATTATATTTCCATTGTCAAACAAGTTTGTGTCCAATTGCTGAGCTAATATTAAAAGTACATTGTCCGTTCAAAGAGAAATAACTCAATTATATACAATATTTAACCTTTAGCATGCAATCAGAGCTTTGGCATTGAAAGTTTTAAGAGAAATTCTAAGGAACCAACCAGCAAGATTTAAAAATTATGCGGAGCTTACAATTATGAAGACACTAGAAGCTCACAAGGATCCTCATAAGGAGGTTAGTAAGCGGCTCTGTGTGTTTTGTGTATTTGAGGATGACACATGTCAAAGCACAAATCAAATGTAATGTTCAAAGAACATGCTTGATAAATTATTCAAATGCCAGTGGGGAAGTACACTTCTACCCCGATGTAACACGAATTCAGATATAACGTGGTAAAGCAGCGCTCCGGGGGAGGGGGGCTGCGTGCTCCGGCGGATCAAAGCAAGTTCGATATAACACAGTTTCACGTATAAAGCGGTAAAATTTTTTGACTCCCGAGGACAGCGTTATATTGGGGTAGAGGTGTAATTGGTTTGATAGTCAAGGATTCAGCAAATATTGGTTAATAAAGGCATGCTAGAGTAAGAAGAATTGCTGTTTTATGGACCCTGAAATGCACAATTTCAACCCTAATAAAGTGAATTCCTACTTACCTATTGTCCCCAAATGACACACAGATGCACCCAACTAAATATGAGCATCAGATGGTACTAGTAGAAGGATAAAGAAGATTGCCTCCCTATAAAGCTATAGGTCCTAGAAGAAATGTGTACACGGGGAAACATTTTTATATTGTATCATTACTATCATGTTTTTGCTTTTCAAAGTGTATTTCTCAGAAAAGCAGAATCATAAAATGAATGCTACATCTAGTTCAACAGAGGGAAAGGTGAGAAAAGATACATCTTGATATAATTTTTGTAAACCGAAGAAAAGGAGCAAATATTATGGTTCTCATCATTTTAGTACTTCTCTAAAACAAATTAATCTGACCGCAAGTTGTGTCTACTATACCACCTGGAGATTTAGAAGCTCTTTAAAAGTAAACAAAAGGTGTCAATGGAAAACCCTATGAGAATCTACTTGTATGGCATGGTGTTGTTGCAAAGAGCATATATGATGGTTCTGTGTCCATTGACGAATTCTAAAATGTTTTGTAGCAACATGGTTAATCCAGAGCCTGGTAATTCATTTTAATAATATACAGAAATGCTCTCAATTATGTATAAAGATACCAACACTTCAGAAATTCCTTGACATGCTGTTTGCTGTAACATATATGCTGTTAATAGTGCGACTTCATGGTTTTAACCTGTTTGTGCAGTCCTGGGGGTCATGCAGCTTTAACCATGTTCCTTCAAACAGAAGAACCCTGCCCTGCCACTGGAATCAGTGTGGTATGGGACTGCAGCTTTTTCCCTACCAAGTATCTTTGGCCAATTAGTGGCTGGGTGGAGTGTTAGGGAAGGCAAGAAATTTCACACCTGGCCTTGCACAGTGTTGCTTTGACCAACAGCGCCACTGCACATGTGTTGGAGGATGAGACTGAACATGACAAGGGACCACAGCTCTATCCCATCCAGTTTTTTAGCCAAATTATACTACTGGGGGGACATGCTTGAAAGTTCTTTTCTCATAGCGTTGGTGCAGCAATAGAGGGGGAGCAAAGGGAACTCATGGATATGACAGGATAACCAGGTGATGCAGAGTGGGGATAGAGGATAAAGAAGGAAAGGGGAAATACAGTGAAATTAAATGTGAAGGGTAAAAAAGACGGGGTGGGAAAACATGCAGAGAGAAGGAAGCCACAGTATCGCGCACGCGCTCGCTCTCACTCACTCACTCACTCACTCTCTCTCTCTTCCCCCCCCCCCCCGATGTAGGAAATACACATGGGGGGGAACAGGAGACATAATTGTATTGATATATAAAAGAAATATAACTACAATGTCCACCTTAAAATTAGGGTTGCCAGGTGCCCAGTTTTCGACTGGAACACCCGGTCAAAAAGGGACCCTGGTGGCTCTGGTCAGCGCCCGTTAAAAGTTCGGATGGCACAGGGTTGGCAGGCTCCCTATCCAGCTCTGCGCAGCTCCCCAGAAATGGCAACATGTCCCTCCCGTGTAAGGGCAGCCAGGGGGCTCTGCAGGCTGCTCCCGCCCCGAGCGCCAGCTCCACAGCTCCCATTGGCCAGAAAACGCAGCCAATGGGGCTGTAGGGGAGGTCCCTGCGGGCAGAGGCAGTGCGCAGAGCTGCCTGGCCGTCCCTGCACCTAGGAGCTGAGGTACATGTCACTGCTTCTGGGGAGCTGCCTGAGGTAAGCACCACCTGGAGCCTGCACCCCGAACCTGCTGCCCCAACCCTTAGCCCCTACTCAAACTCCCTTCTGGAGCCTGCACCCCAACCCCTTGCCCTAGCCCGGTGAAAGTGAACAAGGGTGGGGGAGAGATGAAGTGAGTGGGGAGGGTGGCCTCGAAAAAGGGGTGGGGCCTCGGGACAGGGGCAGGGCAAGGGTGTTCAGTTTCCTCTTTTTCCTCCCTCCCCGTTTATTCCCTACAGTATATTCATTATTACATTCTCTCCATCACTTGTTTTCCTTTCCCATTCCACACCCTTTTCCTCACTGTGCTCATGAAAGAGAGAAAGAAAGGGGGGCAGAGTTAGGGAGAGAACGAGAGCTTTGTAGACTCTTCCTCCTCACCACTCCCATGAGTCCCCACATACAATCGCCAGACGTGGCAGGGAGTGTCTTGGTGCATTCACCCCTCCTACTTCCCTGGAAGTGGACAGGGAAAGTGCAAGCCCTTGCACATGAGTTCAGACTCACCCTAACCCCTTCCCAGAAGCAACCAGTGAAGGGGGACGTTCTAGAGCAGGGGTGGCCACCCTGAACCTGAGAAGGAGCCAGAATTTAACAATATACATTGCCAAAGAGCCACAGTAATACATCAGTAACCCCCCATCAGCTCCACCCCTCCCCCCGCTCCCAGTGCCTCCCGCCCACTGGCAGCCCCGCCAATCAGTGCCTCTCCCTCCCTCCCCGAGGGAGGAACGAGGGCACAGCAGGATCAGGGGAGGGGACGGGAAGGGGTGTAGTGGGGGCAGGGCCTGTGGCAGAACAGTGAGCACCCCCCGGCACATTGGAAAGTTGGCTCCTGTAGCTCAGCTCCAGAGTCGGTGCCTATATAAGGAGCCGCATATTAACTTCTGAAGAGCCACAGGTTGGCCACCCCTGTTCTAGAGCTTCACGTAGCAAGCAGCACTCTGTACATAACAAAGCTGTCTGTGTGCTGAGCCAGCCAGCAGGGAGCATGGTTGCAGAAGCATGCCTTTTAGGGTAGAACCCTGTCCAGTCTTCCCATTTGTATCCACCTCCTCTTGATCTGCGAACTGTTAGCACCCAACTAATAACTGTTATGTTCCCTTACTAAATCCTCTATTAGTTGAAGAATCTGGTGCAAATTTTTGCTATTTTTTTTCTAACTTTTATGCAAGTTAGACTTAATTTTAGAAGTAAAAATGTATGTGCTGTTACCTAAAATAATTGTCTTGAGTGAATGGAAAATCTGTGTCTTTGATAAGCAAGGACCTGCAAGAAATAGAGAGTTACAGTAAGGAAATTGTGTGTTAAAAATATTAACAAAAACTTCAACAGTCTGTCAAGGGTGGATGTGGAATAGCAATCACTAAAGAGATTCCAGGCTTGACTCAGCACCTATTGCCAGGGAGACTTGGGGAATGTTGATGTCTGTATTGCCACAATGCAGAGGTTAGGCCTAGATTATTACCCACATTTTCAGAAGAGCTGCTTGCATTTGGGATGTGCTGGGTGCCAAGTGTCACGGAGTGTGGGGGGACACAAGGCCCTGCACCCCCAGCTTCCTGCAATTCACCATGACTCTCAGCCAGCCAGTAAAGCAGAAGGTTTATTTAGACGACAGGAACACAGTCCAAGACAGGTCTTGCAGGCACAGACAACAGGATCCCCCCCCAGTTAGGTCCATCTTGGGGTCCGAGGGCGCCCCAGCCCCCTTGGGAGGTCAGAGCCCCGTCTGCCTCCCAGCCATATCACCAGCCAGCTCCTGAAATTCTCCCTTCAGCGGCCCCTCCCACAGCCTTTGTTCAGTTTCCTGAGCAAAGGTGTCACCTGGCCTCTAACCCCTTCCTGGGTTCTCACATTATATGCTCAGGTATTTTCCCTCGGTCAGTCTCCCATCCCCCAACGCAGACCATCCTAGCCACACTCCCCTGTCAGCATTCAAAGACCACAGTAAGAACAGTCCCAGTTCGTCACACCAAGGATTTTTGAAAATTGGTCTCTATTAGTCTCTTCCAGTCCAAATCATTTTACAGTACTGTAGAGCTGCAGATATGTAATTAAATTGTAAATAAAACTAAATAAAAATACAAACATCTATTGATTTCACTGCATGGTTCAAGAGCAGAACTGTCAGAATTTAGACTGCACAAGCATTTTTTAAAAACTATTTTCTCCATTGTTTTATTTAATCTTTGTTTAGGTGGTGAGATCTGCTGAAGAAGCTGCTTCAATGCTGGCCACTTCCATTAGCCCAGATCAGTGCATCAAAGTACTTTGTCCCATTATCCAAACTGCAGATTACCCCATTAATCTGGCTGCAATCAAAATGCAGACAAAAGTGATAGAGAGAGTATCTAAAGAAACGCTTGCTCAGCTTTTACCAGAGATTGTGCCAGGTCTAATACAGGTAAGAAACCACAGCAGATGTAAAGAATTAAACCAGAAGTTTAAATCTCTTCAGCATTTCACTCAGCTCTCATGGAAAACTTTGATTTGGGTAGTAGATGGTTGCATTTGTGGCCCTGTGATGGGGTATATAAAGCCCACACTGGCCCAGGAATGGTTAGAGAGCGTTTGAGAGCTCTATCTGGTATACCTGGGGATGGCGTGGTCAGGTTGAGGGAGGAACTCAAAAGAAAGTGTGTGTGACAATCTCCTGGGAGGAGAGGCTGTATAAGGAAGGGTGGGGAGTGGGAGACAGGTATAGCTGCAGAAGCCAGGATTAGCTATGTAGTGAGTCCAGTGAAGGGGCAGTACTCGCAGAAAGTTTATCTCAGGAGATTGAGTCACAGGGAATAACAGAGAAATGGAGAGGCTGAAACTTCAAATCCAGCAGAGGTGAGACAGGTGCAGTGGTATTTATAGTGTAGACTCTATTTTTGTTGGAAAGGCGGACCAAAGGGAAGCCTTTGGGGTTTGCAGTATTTGTTTCAATGCTGGCGAAGGACATTATTGCCCTGGCAAAAGCAGCACTTTAGTGGAATCTGCCAGAGGCCCAGATCCCAAACACAGGAGACCCTCAGAAAAAAAAAACACAATAGGGTGCTCCGAAACAGGTCCAAAATATCTTCATTGTTTGGAGCAACATCATTCTGATTCTCAGTCAGTCAGTCTAGGACTTTAAGGAGATACATTACATTTTAATGTGTTCATAAAGAATAAAATAATTACATTAAATTTCAGCTTTAGGAGCTATTAATAGATTACTTTTAAGTAGTGGTTCTCAATCTGTGTTTCAAAACTGTCCTGTAAAGCTCTCCCTTCATTTCTTAAAATTAAATATTTTAAGAACGAGGGGGGCGAGATTTGGTTTTTGGAAAGAGAGTCCATGAGGTGACTTTTCTTTTGTGAAGTTGCCCAAAGAATGAAAACATTGGATAATCTGTTTTGGGGCAACTGAGGTCTGGTTTTGTATTGATGTGCAGAATAATCTAGCAGTCATCTTACTGAATTTAGTTATTTGCAGTTTTTAATTGTGCCGTTGATTAGAAATGGCTCTCATTTACTTCAACAGACCACAATGTACAGAATCCCTAAGATTTTAGAAACATTAAAAAACGTTTATCCAGGTGCAACACATTTTCAGCCTTTAGATTAGATTACTTGAAACCATTTTAGTGATACTTTATTTTCAGGAAGATTTCTTAATCTAGTGGCTAGTGATGATATACATTGAAATTAACATTTGAGAAGTCTTGGTTCATGTTAAAGAAATAATATTATGCAGTCATCATGTTTATGTTCCACATGCTGATCCCTACTAAATCATTAAGAATCTTAATCCAGTGAAGTTATGATTTCACCTATTAGATGCTCAGCATATTGCAGGATCTTATCATACATTTGGGTGACTTTAAACTGAATTAATAGAGCCAATTTAAGGTTTTATATAGTGGGGTGGGGATAGCTCGGTGGTTTGAGCATTGGCCTATTAAACCTTCAATCCTTGAAGGGGCCACTTAGGGATCTGGGACAAAAATCTGTCTGGGGATTGGTCCTGCTTTGAGCAGGGGGTTGGACTAGATGACCTCCTGAGGTCCCTTCCAACCCTGATATTCTATGATTCTAGATACTATGTAATATTTTTCTCTGTTCCTTTAAAATAGTTTTTATTTTCTTTTGTATAAAATCCACTATTTTAAAAATGAGAGAGAGAAGACAGGGCCACAAAGCATATGTCTACACTGCAATAAAACACCCCTGGCTGGCCTGTGTCACCTGACTCAGGCTCACAGGGCTCAGTCTGCGGGGCTATAAAAATTGCAGAGGATGTTTGGGCTTGGGCTGAAGCCCAGGCTCTGAGATCCCATCGTGGGGGAGGGTTCCAGAGCCCAGACTCTGGACTGAGCCCGAATATCTATATTGCAATTTTATAGCTCCCCCAGCCCAAGCCTCCATGAGTCCAAGTCAGCTGACATGGGTCAGCCATGGATATTTTATTGCACTGTAGACATAACCAAATGGTCTCATAGCCGAGCTGAGGTTTGGATAGGGCAGACTGAAGTATAGCTTAAATGTTTTTAAACTTTGTTTTATGTTAACCAGTGTATTAAAATGGAAAATTTTGTACCGGTTCAGCTGTGCTTCTTTCCAGTATTACTTTTGTGGCACAAAAGATATTTTTACAGTGCCATCATAATCCTCTTTATAGGAAGTGCAGGAAATGTTTCCCTAAGTAAGGTTGCCAAATACTTTCCATTATAAGAACCTGTTTTCAGATACTTATAATTTTGCCAAACTTAACAGTTTGGACTGAAATTGTCCTTGCTAAGTGTCTCAGGCATGTGTGTTTGGTTTTTTTTTGTTTTTGTTTTTTGGCAGGGAGGGAAGTTTTAGTAAAAATGATTCAGCCATTTCCAAGAAATAGATTAGGGGAAAGTGCATTGTATTGCCCACATTAAAAATAATAATAATCCTGTCACTATTTTGTTCCATTCTTTGGACCAAGGACTTGAAATTTGGTGGTGTTGAGGCAGGAGGAGTCGCCCTCTTGTGGGGGATGCCTTTTTTTGCTATCCCCATGAAAACTTGCCCATATTTGGACAAGTCAGAACTGTTCTATTTGCTCATGCAAAGGGTCCAAACTCTGTTGATGTGTTAAGTTGGGGGTCAGTCTGATTCCACAATATTTGGTGGAGGGTGTTTAAAAGAATTAGGAAGTTACATTTTTAAGAAACTTGCATTAAATGGGCATTACTGTTGTGACAGCAAGCTCTCAAAGGTTAGGAAATTCCAGAAATAAGGTTGCACAAGCAACCATATGGTTACCTCCCTCTTCAGGAACCTCTCATAGGAGAGAATCCCTTTGTAAGATGCGGATTCTTTTCTCAAGAAGAAAGCCAAAGATGAGGTTCCTTAGCAACACCAAGGGAAAGGATTTTACATCTGCTATTTCTTGATGCCCAAGAAGAATGACAGTCTGACACCCATCCTGGACCTCAGAAACCTCAACAAGTACATAAGAAACTTCAAGCAGCAAGTTGGAGTTCAGTGCACACTTTCACAAAGCACTGCTCCTCAGCCTTAGAGTTGCATTCTGATGCTCAGTTTGAGAGAGCAGCACAACAGTCCATATTTAACTAAGAACTCCTCACCCACCATCATCCTGCTGATATCCCACAGGTGGGAGTGCACGGAGACCCTTGATGAAGAAGGAGATTACTAACCAGTAACTATTGTTCTTCAGAAGTCGTCTCTGTATATTCATACTACCTACCCCCTTCCTCTTTACCTCAGAGTTCTATATAACATCTGGACTCGACAGTTAGAGGGAAGGAGTTGAGGTGGATGGTGGATGCATTTTTGTCGAGTAGGGCAATGATGTTGCACGCATGCAAGATCTCTCGTGTGCTTCTCAATGGACATGGATTTTCAAGGCAGTTCCACGGTTCTGTGCTTGGGGCACCATATTCCACAAGTGTAAATGCACAGAGGTGACTCTCAGAGAACAACAGTTACTGATAAATAACCTCTGTTTACCTGGGCAAGTTTAATTTTGGCATTTTCTAACTTTGGAGTGCTTCTCTTGGTAACCTTAACATTCATTTAGTGTGATTTTTTTGGGGGGGATGTATCTATAAAAAGAAATATCGCTCTTGGAATTTTAGTCATATGCTAGCTATTAATGTTAATTTCCTTGCTTTCTAGGGTTATGATAATTCGGAGAGCAGTGTTCGTAAGGCTTGTGTTTTCTGCCTTGTAGCCATTCATGCAGTAATTGGCGATGAACTAAAACCACATCTCAGTCAACTCACAGGCAGCAAAGTAAGTGGAAGATGCCATTTACAGAAATCCTAGTCCCTAATTGCATGTATATGTTTATGGTGTAGTTGTGAGCAACTATTAAAACTAAGAAAGTATATATCTGAAGGAATAATAACCCAGGTTGCTGAAGCTACTAGCAAACAGAGAGGATCAAGGTGACTTTCATCTGTGAGACTCAAAAATATGCAAACCATAAATCCAATCTTCATGCAAGTAAAGTTTTAATTGATTTATAAGAAATGCTGAATTAGGCCCCATGTTTTGCTGTGTTAGATTAGATTTGGTTATATTATAAATTAGCTCAAAAGCACAACTGTGCCTCAAAATATAAAAAAAGTTCTCCTTGAAAAATTAGATTAAGGAACCTTTGCATAAACATCCTTAAGATGGTTGAGTACACCTTCAAAATCAGTGTATTGACTTAGTGTTGTGTATATATTACATAAGATGGTAGGTAATTCCACACCGAACATAATCAGTGTACTGACTTTCATCTCCACCATTGCTCCATCTGGTGTTGCCTTTTGAAAATGTCATTGTTTGGTGGGAGATAAAGGTACATTAGAAGTAAATTAACCAATTATGTTTCTATCTGTTCCTCTCCTTAAGTAATTTGCATGCCACAACCTTTTAAGTACATATTATTTTTGTATTATTTGAAAAACACAAAATCTTTAATGCATCTTTTTGGATGGCTGCACATTTGCAGAAAAATTTAATTTACATAAAGAACAGGAGTACTTGTGGCACCTTAGAGACTAACAAATTTATTTGAGCATAAGCTTGCATCCGAAGAAGTGGGCTATAGCCCACGAAAGCTTATGCTCAAATAAATTTGTTAGTCTCTAAGGTGCCACCTGTTCTTTTTGCGGATACAGACTAACACGGCTGCTACTCTGAAAACTGTCATTAATTTACATAGAGACAATTGAACATTAATTATTTATGATCTTGTCCTGGGAAATACATAAGATGACTTACTTTTATGCATTATGATGAGTGATAAGATCCAAAATTTCCACTGTGTGGCTATTGCGCGCGCCCCCTCCCCCTTTTTTTTAACATAGTTTTACATGGGGTGACCCAAAACCAAGGATTTTTTAGGGAATAGAAAACCCCACTTACCCTGAGCATTAAGGGCTCCCAAAACCCTACCAGTGACTAGAATCAAAATGGGTTTTCTCTGATAAAAATAACACCAACTTATTCACAGTGCCTCTAAAATTTAGTAATAAACAACATTAACCCCAGCTCGACTACTTCAGCTCCCCGCTTTTTTGTGTGTTTAATACAACTTGAGCAATAACTCCTTGTGAAGAATGTTGGTCTGTTTTGAATTTTTCACTTGCAGGTACATAAAAAGATACTTCTTCCTTTATTTTAAATTCACCTAAAGATTTTTACTTTCACCGAAGGGAAAACAGCTCAGTTATTAAAGTTTTTTGGTTACCAGACCTCCCTTATAATCTTTAGTTTAACGGTTAGGGTACTGTGCTGAGTGTGGGAAACTCAGGTTCAATTTACTCTGCCTCATGAGGATCGGTGACTTGTACTTGGATCTCTCACATCCTAGGTTGAGTGCCCTAATTACCACACAAGAGAGTCGCTCTCAATCTCTTTCCCTGGCAAAATGCCTATCTATTGTCATAAATGACCATGAATATCTACTATAATTGACAATGGGTAATCATTGGGCCAGGAAGAAAGTGTGAGAATTACTCTATAGCTAGGTGGTTAGGTCATCCACATTGGATGTGGGAGACCCTAGTTCAATTTCCTGATCCACATCAGGTAAAGGAGGGAATTGAACCTGGGACTCCCATGTCTCAGAAGAGACCCTAACCACTGGGCTACTCCTGGGGGAATTCTGCGCCACTGCACAATGCAGAATTTTGCAGAAAATAATGTGCATGCAGAATTTCCTTTTTTCCCCGCACAGAAATGAGCTCAGAGCTATTGGTCACCACTAGGGGCTGCTGGACCTGGCAAAGCCCAGCTCGTAAATAGAAGACAAGGCCGGGGGGAGGGGGAGGAAGAGTTCCCAGCACACCCTGATGGAAGGAAGCAGTGGCATGTGGGGAAACTCCATGCAAGCCTGGGATCCAGCATCAGGCTGTTTCTCCCTCTGGATTCCTGGACTCTGGGGGGTAGTGGGTGTCAGTGTCTGAGGTGGGGGCGCAGAGAAACAGGAACTGGGTTGTCGTAGGGGTTTCTTTAACTCTCTACTTCTGGGAGAGTTTTTGTAAGTATCTGTATTGTTACATACATACTTGCTGACAGCTATTTTGAAATAAATTACCAAAATAATTGAAACTGGCATGATTATATAGTGTTGTTTTGAAAAATAAAATTTGCAGAATTTTTAAATTTTTGGCGCAGAATTCCCCCAGGAGTACACTGGGATAAAGGTTATAAAAGAGGTCCTCTTCTTCCCTCCCCCAGGTATTTTCTGACTCTAGTCCTTTATTTTTGTAAAACCACTCAAAACTGAAATGAAAAATGTTAGGTTGAACCAAAATGTTTTGTTTCAACCTTACTCTAAATATTTCAGACTTTTTGATTTGCCAAAAAAAATCCATTTTCGGTTTGACCTGAAACAAAACTTATTTCAGTGTTTCAGCATTACCAGCGAAGCAAAAAAATCCATTATTCACTCAGCTTTATTTAGAATTTTCTTCACGGTCTGTCTTCTTACCCATGCTGATAGACTATTTTAGAATTTTTACTATTAAACTGTGTTTCTGATAAATGTTAAACAAATGCACTTCTGAATTAAATCTTCAGATGAAATTATTGAACCTTTACATCAAACGTGCACAAACAGGCTCTGGAGCAGGTGACACAGCAGCAGATGTTTCTGGACAAAGCTAATGAAACTGACGACAGTGAACCAGGTCTTCTAAAGAAAGGACAGGCACTCTGATATCAGTGAAAGGAAAATTCTCACGCACACCTTTGGAACTCTTGATTTTTTTTTCCTCTCCAGTTTGTCTTTTGTTTTCTTTTTTTGTTATTTTTTTAAACTGATGGCTAACCCTCAGCCTGCATGTGACTGTTGCAGTAGAATTATTCCAAATCCAAGGAGAAAACAGTATTAATATCAGCTGGTCAAAACACAATAAATTTTAAAAATCTAATCCATCACTTTTCCTGTTCGCACTCCTCTGTGTGTCTTCCCATTAACTTTTACCAGTGTTATGACTGTATTTAAAAAGAATTTTTAAAAATGCTAATTAAACAGGAATGCTTTAAGCTTTAAAAGTTAAAATCTAAATTCTTTTGCTTTTTTATTTTTGGCTGCAGAATAACATGCCATTTTTATTGCAGTTTTGTTTAAATATCATATCCTTTGTTAGAAAGAAGAAATTATATGAAACAAGGCAGGACTAGTCTGAACTGCAACTAGACTCAGTCACTGTGTTGGTGGTACATCATCTTATTTGTATCTTGTTTGGGATATTCTGGAGTATGAGAATTATGCCCATAAAAAAACTGGATTGATCCAGTTCTTTGAAAGTGATATTGTTCATTGGTTGTATGTTTGTCCCATAAATAAGAATTTAGTGTGAGCCGTAGAGGACTAGTACAGCTAGCACATCATAATGTGGAAGACAGCCCGTTCAGGGTCCAGTGTTGCAAAATTGGTGATAGTGTGACAACCTGCTTTCTAGCAGCTGAGAAAACACTTACTTGATGGACCTGAACCATCCTTGTCACCATCCTTTCTTCAAGCAGGATGCCTCAGAGTGGAGTGCTTTGCCCAAGCATGCTCAGTATGTATTTATCTTTTATCACTAGAATGTTTCCTCTCAACCTAGTTGCTGGAACCAGTAGTGTTGTATTGTAACTCACATGGGGGATATATGACAACAGTGCAGTTCATTGGTTGTCTTTTTAAAAGCACTACAACATTCTGCACTGAATTTTTAGGGTGGGGGAGAATCACAAGCGCTATGAATCTTGCCACTTTTTCAACAACAACAAAAAAAGTTATGGATGAATTGGGAAAGTTGCACCAAATTATTTGCATGGTTTTCTTGAATCGCATCATCAAGACCCATCTGGATTAAGGTGTGAAAATGTTTTCAGGTTGTTGTTTTATTTTTTAAATTTTAGTTTATTGTTAATAATGCTTCTTTGTATTTATGATAATGGAAAGAGAGAGCAAAAATCAAGTAAATATATGTCCCTGAATGTCTTTCTGTTTCTCAGATGTAATCAACAAGCTACTTAGCTGAGAGATGGGGTAAAACAGCACCCTGTCCAGGAATGATGGAACCTGGGGTTTTTTTTTTTTACTATGGTATGGTCTAGTTTTAGGACATGTGTCCTGGTAAGAGAGAAAATAGCAGTGCCAAGGATGTTCTTCTGTGCTAGGCTAAAATTCTCTCTACCTCTTCAGGGTGATTACTTTTGACTGAGCTGCTGCCCATAGTGTCTTGTGGAAAAACTGTCTATAGAAATCTTTTTTTTTTTAATTATTTTTTCAAATCACCATTTGCTACTGTGTATTCGAAGCCCTGTTCTTTATCATGTAGCCAAATATCATAGGGAACTGCTAATGCACTTCAATTGCTAATTACCTTGAAAAACAAAACTGAATAAAAGTGGAGCTGGATACTTGCAGTTACACTCTTTGAGAGGTCATTTTCACTTAATCTAAAGTGAATCTGACCGAGAAAGTTGAGACATGGTTATTAAAGAAGCAGTTTACTGCTGTTGCAGAGATGTTTTCTTTGGGCAGGGGGAAATGTAGAAATGTATGTAAAAACTTTAAAAAAGGAAAATTCTCATTATTTGTCACTGGACCTTTTATTTTTAGCAGCTGCATCAAGAAAGTAGTGTCTCCCCTTTCTCTCCTTCCTTGTGTGCAACTTTCTCTTTGTTTTCTACTGTTTAACTACATTGTGTATTTATAGTTCTTTGCTTACCATTGTGCATATACTGGCAATAAAATGTACATAACATTACTTGAAAAAAAATTAACAATGTATACAGGCCGTTTTTCTGTTTTATTTAATCATGTTATGTGAAAGATTATAGATGTCATAGGCACCAATATTGTTTTCAAAAGATTCTGCATAATTGCTGTGTGTTCAGAATGCTGCTTTTTTAGACATTCTAAGTATCCCATTTCTCATAAAGGATTTTGCTATCTTTATTTCAGTGGTACAGAAAATCCCTGTTTTTTAAAATTGTCACTCAGATTACAGTTTAACAGCCCTACTTTAATCCTTCTTCATAAGTGTGAATGTATAAGATCTTAATTCTGTTTGTTCTGAAGAGTGTTCTTTTAAGGCTTGACCTCAGGAGGACTTCGCTATTTCCATTCTTTCTGAACATGGAGTCTGTCCCAGTTCTACAAAATAACTACAAAAATAACCCTATTTAAATATGTTTATGGCCTAATGTTATAACCTTTTTTTCCTTAACGATGTGGACAAGGGGAAAAAAAGCTATCAGTCCCTTTTGAGAGAGAGAGAGAGAGAGATGTTATCTTGGGTACATAGATAGCAAGGCTAAAAGTTGGTTCTTTACTTTTTTGGAGGGTCGGTGGGGTGTGGGGGGGGTTGTTTATGTTCACAAAGACAAAGAAATCATGTTTTTATAAGAAGTTTGGACCACAATCATATGTCACACCATATTTAAACATCCCATGTTCTAAAAAAACTAAACGTAAATTTTAAATGTTTAAAAAATTTTAATCCTCAATAATGACCTGACCATATCTGCTAGTCACAGGGAACAGATTGCTGAGTATGCACTTTCCTGTGAAAATGATCTGTTTTGTATTCATTTAATCATAGGGTAGGAGTGTGGAAGTTTACAATAAAAATGCATATTGCTCCCATTGACATTGGACAAGCTACAATAATCCTTTACTTGGGCTTTATTTCCTATATTGTAAATAAAAGCTAGCTCAGTTTAATTGCAACTATAATTAATGGTGTCTTGTACATGTTAAACTGGAAATCTCTAATGAATGCGCATAAAGATGTAGTGCAGTGAAAAGAAGTTTTACAGTGTTGTTGGTCAGCAAAAAGTTCAGATAGTTCTAAGGACGATGTCATCTCTTAATAGCCTTTCTTTCCTTGTAAGGTTATAATGCAAAACTTTTAAGCTGGAACACGTATTTTAAAACATATACCTATGGTTCTTAAAAAGTTTGATTATGGGGGTAGAATATCTATGTTTTGCAGTTGTATGTAAAAATAAAACCACAATATATCCAGAGTCAGAATAATAAATGTAAAGGTGATTTGACATGCCAATTGTCTTAAAATAAAATTTGACTGTTGTGTTGTGCTCAACCTAAGCCCCAGCCAGGAAGTTGGGGTAATTAGTTGAAGTTGAAGGGACACTGTAAACTTAAATTGTGTTGATTTTTAATTTTGTTTAAAATTTCCTTTAAAAACTACAGACAACAGATTTGTTTTCGGTGTTTTAAGGGCGGAGTCCTAGGATAAGGATTAAATGCTTGTGTCCTGGGAAAAAATATTTTGGGAATATCCATGCTAGCCTTTACAAACGTATTAGTTACCTTGAATTAATTGGCAATAAATTAATTCAAGGTAAAAAGTCCATTGAAGACAAATTTCAATTTTCAGTAAAGGAAGCATTTTAAAGAATTCTCAATTATAACTTTCAAATATAACGTTTTCCTTTTGAAAACAAATACATACAAGGCAAAGCCAGACTGAGGAGTAAGGCTGGTGAATTATGCAGCAATAAATGCATTTGATGCTTAATGGTAACTGGAATTATTCTATTTGTTATAGTAAAGGTCAATTATTATGAGCCATAGACTTAGAATATGGTAAACATTAAACTAAGCAAGAAGGAAATAAAGTGGTGAGGTTGGGACCAGCAAGGTTATCAGGAGAATGAAAACTAGTGTTTTTCCATTTTAGCAAACTTACCAGTTTTGCAATTGCAAATATCCTAAAATAGTCTAGTGCCACTGAATTTTTAATTAATTTGTTTTCATAAAAATGTTCTTTGAAATAAATTGTAAATAAATACTTTTCTAAATGTCCAGTGTAAATTTTGCCCCCAACCTTTCCAGGCATGCAACTATGTAGACTGCAAAGATATAACTCATTGATCAGAAATATTCTCTTGAAATTCATTGAATGATGTATAATTTTAAGAAGTTTGTCTACCTAAATACAGGAAAGATTTTCAGAAGCACCTACAGGATATACATGTCTCATTTGAATCTTTGTGCTTCTTAATACCTTTTACACTGAAAATTTCACTATACACCTTAATAAATGTTTGTCATATGAATGCATTTACAAACGCCCAAAATACTGTTTCAGTCTCATGTAAACTGGTAATGGAATACAGAGCTTAGGTTGCCAGTCAAAGTCCACTCACTCCAGGTTAATGATGAGAGATTGATATTTGGTGACAAATACATCAGTGAGATGTACTTGTGAAATAAATTAGTAGTCTGTCTAGCTCCTACATATAAATATTTATTTTTTAAAAAATGCTGCCTGCATCATATTTAGCTCCCATGTTGATAATTTCTGTATGCATGCCATGGACTGATTGGGTAGAATTGCAGTATCCTCTCACCATTAGAGATCATTTCTTCAAGTCAGTCTGAAGGCGCTTTGATATAGTCATGGGGGGAAATTTGAGGCTGCCCAGGCCTTATTTGTTTTATAGATGAACAGAGAATTTCACTTTGGCTTCTTGCCCTGACACAAGCTCTAATTTGGTACCCATGTTAACAAGTGCCATTTTTCTCCACAAGTCTTTAAGCCAGGTTTGTCTCCCGCTGCAGTGGATTAGGAGATAGCACAGCCAGTCTCTTCCTCTTATCATCCATACTTCTTCTGGAGACCCCACCCTGAATTTGGAAAAATGGAACAGATAAGTGACAGTCAGGCAAGCAAGAAGAAATTTTCCTCTTTTGTTATAAGTATCAAACATTTCTGTATGTATATTTATGAAAACATTGTCCTGAAGAAAGTTTTACACCTTGAGTAACCCCAGCTATATACAAGTTTCAGAAGATGATAGGGAGTAAGCCTTACCGTCCCAGGTAAGTACTGAAGCAAATTTCCAGGTGGGAAATTTCCAAGTTTATTCAGACTGGGACTGCCACATTATTTAACTACCATAAGACAAAGCTGAACAATGTTTTTAATACTATCAACTTTCAAAGAGGTTTGTAGTCAAGCTAGATCCTCTGAGAAACTATTGCAAGAGTATACGCTTTTTATAACAGGTTTTAGAGTTCTTAAATAATTAATTTTTGAAACTTTGATCAGAGGCCACTATCAAAAAATTAACAATGAAAATTGATTGTATTTACAAGTTTTAGTAAAAAAAAATAATGGGATGATTTAGTTGGAAAATTCCCATAGTGGTGTTTACAAAAGCATTATTTAAAAAACTATCAGTGGTCTGTTACTGTTAAGCAGTAGTGACTGATAACTGATAAGAACATAAGAATGGCCATGCTGGGTCAGACCAATGGTCCATCTAACCCAGTATCCTGGCTTC